ACTAGAAACAAGACAATACAATTTTTTTTTTTGCATACATAAATAAAGGAACAAGTGAAGATGAGTAAGTGATGACAGAAGTTTCATTTTTGGGTGAACAATTCCCTTAATTGTTGCAGATGAATGCAATTACTGCCGAAATGCACAAAAGAGTTGGTATTCAGTCAGGTACATGAAACAGATGGTGAGGCAAAATATTATAAATACTGCTTATATCGGCTCTGTGTTATCGATGACTGAATCAGCTTAAATACAGTCTGATGTCGAGCACCTCACGCTTCATTCAGGTTTAACGCGCTCAGCAGTATCTAACCTCTCCATTCCAAAACCAAGCATGGCTACTGGAGATTTCCTGACTAATTAATCAGGATTAACTAGCTAATAGGATTTGTTCCAGATAACATCTAACAATCAAGATAATACGGAGAAGGTAACAACTGTAGTGTGTAACCTATAGATACGAGTAACTGTCTGAGGAGATAACGGGAGATAACTTTACACCAGTGTACACTCAGAGCCTTCACTTCTGTTTCAGCTTTGGCTAATTAGCTCTCAAACTCCACTTACTGTAGATATTCTCTCTAAGCTGCTGAAATCCAGAAAATGTAGATGTCTATAGCTGAAGAAGAGCTTCAGGAGAGTTCATTCATTCATTCATTTTCTTGTCGGCTTAGTCCCTTTATTAATCCGGGGTCGCCACAGCGGAATGAACCGCCAACTTATCCAGCAAGTTTTACGCAGCGGATGCTCTTCCAGCCGCAACCCTTCTCTGTGAAACATCCACACACACACATTCACACACACACTACGGACAATTTAGCCTACCCAATTCACCTGTACCGCATGTCTTTGGACTGTGGGGGAAACCGAAGCACCCGGAGGAAACCGAAGGCAGGGAGAACATACAAACTCCACACGGAAACGCCAACAGAGCAGAGGTTCGAACCAGCAACCCAGTGACCTTCTTGCTGTGAGGCGACAGCACTGCCTACTGCGCCACTGCCTCGCCCCGCTTCAAGAGAGTTCACACTGCAAAAAAAGGCTTTCCTTGCTTAGAGTTTGTATTGTTTTAGCCTAAATATCTACAAATTCTTAAATCAAGAAGCATTTACTAGACAAGTGAATCTTATTGTCTTGTTTTAAGAAATAGCTTGTAGAAAATAGGCGGCACGGTAACTCAGTGGTAAGCACAGTTAACCTACAGCAAGAAAGTTGCTGGTTTGAGTCTCATCTGGATCAGTTGGCATTTCTGTGTGGAGTTTGCATGTTCTCCCCATGTTTGCATGGGTTTAGGTGAATTGAATAAACTAAATTGGTTGGCCGTAGTGTGTGTGTGTGTGTGTGTGTGTGTGTGTGTGTGTGTGTGTGAATGAGTGTGTATGGATGTTTCCCAGTACTGGGTTGCGGCTGGAAGGGCATCTGCTGCGTAAAACATATGCTGGATCAGTTGGCGGTTCATTCTGCTGTGGTAACCCCTGATGAATAAAGGGACTATTCATTCATTCATTTTCAGCTTAGTCAGGTGGAGAAATCTAAGCTTGTTTTTAATAAAACAAATATAAATATGCTTATAATAAATAATAATACTGATAATAACATTATACAAAAGCAAGTTGTCATGAATGAACTGAAAAAGCCCCCAACATGAAGAAGGTGTGGAGGCAGTGGTTTTTATATTCATGTTGAAATTATTATATATTTTTTTATTTTTATCCTTTAATTCTTTTTGATTTGTAAAGATATTTGTGTATTGCTGTACATCCTGTTTGTTTTAAGCAATGTGTAAGTGAAGCACACAACTAACGTGCTCTGCGCTGGACTTTAGACCTGGTTTCAGCTGGTCTATTACACAGTCTATTTTAGTTAATAGCAACATGCCACAATGAGACTTAACAGACCTCTTTTCTAGACCAGAAAACTCATGAGTCCACAAAGTGGATTTAAACAACGTGGCGGAAAATGGGAAAATGAAGGTTGCGCTAGTCTGAAAATAGCAACACATTGGGGCAAACATACTCCTTATTGTGCCAGGTGTATGACAGGGCCCCTTAAGTTCAATTCAATTGAATTCAGCTTTATTTGTATAGCGCTTTAAAATGTAGATTGTGTCAAAGCAGCTTCACATAAATGGTCATAGTAAATTGGAACAGAGTAGTTTTTAGTGTTTAAGTTCAGTTCAGTTTAGCTCAGTTCAGTGTGCTTTATAATCATTACTAAGAGTCCAAACACTGAAGAGCAAATTCATCGATGAGTAGCTCTACCGATCCCATGTTGTTTGCCCTTTATTGATGTCGCAACTTAAGTTAATCCACAGCGCCACACATGCTCATTGGTTGAAACGTCTTTTCTTATTAATTTTGCTGTAAAAAAATTACAATAAAAAAGGGAATTGTGATTGTATTTTTGATAGGAAACTGATTTTATTATTATTAAAATATTATTGAAGAGAGACAGCTGGAGAGCCATGTAGTTTTGGTCAAAGAGCCACATGTGGCTTGCGAGCCATAGGTTCCCTACCACTGGGTTAGTACTTTAAATGAATGTTCCTGGTTATCAATGTGCACAATTCCACAGAGCCAAAAAAAATGGCTTCATAATCTTTCATCAAAATGAACTGACTCACTCTCTGCTTCCAAAAACCACATCAGCAAACGCTTCTTCTTCAAGCACCTGTCAAACAGAGATCCAATCAATTCCTGAGGGACAAAATACGCTGCTAGCTTTTTCTGTTTGGAATAACAGCACAGGCAGCAGGGTGGCTCAGTGGGTCCTACTGTCGCCTCATAGCAAGAAGGTCACTGATCAACTCCTGGCTGGGCCAGCGTTTCTGTGTTGAGTGTGAGTGGGTTTCACCTCCGGGTGCGCCAGTTTCCCCCACAGTCCAAATATATGTGCTATATAAGTCAATTGGATGAAGTATATTGGCCGTAGTGTATGAGTGTGTGTGAATGTGAGAGCGTACGGGTGTTTCTCAGTACTAAGCTGTGGCTGGAAGGACATCCGCTGCGTAAAACATATGCCAGAATAGTTGCCGGTTCATTCCGCGGTGGTCACTCCTGGTAAATAAAGGACTATGCTGAAGGAAAATGAACGAATTACATCCACATTTCTAAGCAAGTAACGACCCATTCACACGGGGCTTCAGCGTCATCGCTTGACAGAGGGTGTGTCTGAAGTCGGGGCTGACGCGATGGTCATAGCGTGAAATTAGTCAGCAATAGGCCACTGTCTGAGCTGGTGTTTTTGCATACAGCAATCTGATTGGCTGACGCTTCCGTCGGCGCTTGAAAAGTTGAGCAAGTCCCAACTTCTGCAGCGAGCAATGCCTATAAAATGGCGCAGACGGATCCACAATGCAGTTCGGCAACGCCTGACATCACCCATTCAAAGTGAATGGGAAGCATTGACGCTGATGCCCCATGTGAATGGGGTGTAAAGGTATTAGGACAGCTGTGCATGTTTACTTTTGTGTCAGATGCATTATTCCGCATGCCGTCACTGCTTTCCTGCTTATTCCACAAACAATAACATACAGGCACTCAGAACACAGATATACACACATACAAAGACAGAGAGACATACACAGACACACATGCAGCTTACAGACGACACACACAATTAAAAAGACAGAGATATAAAACAAAAACTAATAAGGATCAATGACGTGATGTTTGTGTCCAGAATTTCATACATTATTAAAATGTGTAAAATTCAAAACTATTTTGATATGATTAATAAAACAAATATACTAATAAAACGAATATTTCTGCTAAAATGTCTACGTCGCAAGTGCATATTTAAAGGAAGAAACATGAAGAAATACTGTAAGCATGTAATAAAAATACATTTAGAAATTATTATTTTTATTTTTATTTCAAGAAATTGGTTAGAATGAAAATAAGATAAAAGAAATCAGGGTGATTCCACCAAATTTGGACTTCTTAGTTCTTCTGAAGTGAAAACATTGGTTTTATAATGACTCAAACAATATTTTAATGCAAAAGTTTTCTAAATGACAACTATTTTTGTTTTTAAATATTTAAGAAATGTCATTAATAGCCTATAAAATAAAAATAAAGGCAAAGAAAATCTTTCAGAAAAGTTAGTCTGTATATAGTTATATAGTAATATAATATAATAAAATAAAATATAATATAAGGTGTAATATAATATAATAAAATATAATAAAATATAAGGTGTAATATAATATAATATAACATAATATAATGTGTAATATAATAAAATGTGTAATATAATATAATAATATAATATAATATAATATAATATAATATAATATAATATAATATAATATAATATAATATAATTTAATATAATATAAGGTGTAATATAATATAAGGTGTAATATAATATAATATAATATAATATAATATAATATAATATAATATAATATAATATACTGTGTAATATAATATAATATAATGTGTAATATAATAAAATGTGTAATATAAATTAATAAAATAAAATATAATATAAGGTGTAATAAAATATATTATAATAAATATAATATAATATAATATAATATAATATAATATAATATAATATAATATAATATAATATAATATAATATAATATAATATAATATTGCAGGTTTTTAATTTATTCATTATAAATAATAAACAACCTGAATAAATCTAATATAATAATAAATAATTGAAAAAAATCCTATTAAACCAAGCGGTTGTGTTCAACTTCATATTTTACCAAGCTTTATTAAGAGTTTATTATTTATAATTGATTACTAAATACAAAAATAATTAATTAAAGTGAATTAACTTTTCAACATCTTGACCTGCTTTTTGTCATTGACCCACAAACAGAAATACGACACAACAGAAATGAACTATGGACCTTTTCATACAAGAAAAGTCCAAGTCAGTGAGGAACACAGGACTACACAGAGACACACACACGTCACATTGTTTGCGTGAAAACACACACAAGTGTCTCACGCATTCGGCATCAATTTGCCCGTCTCTCACCTTTTTTGGGCGGACAGGTGGTGTTGACCACTGGAGAAAAACGCACAACACACACGACTTTAGAATATCGTCACACAACATCCATCTACACACACCAGACAAAAGACACTCGATCTCTCAGATTACTGTAAAGTCACAACGCATGCTCATATGTATGAAATTGTGGTCATTACCATGGGATTGTTGTTACATGCACAACATCTTTACACTTAATTATTTACAGTAAAGTCAACCATTTTAGAAGGACTGAGTAATAAGTCAACAATATGCCAACAAAAGCCATCACAGTTAAAGGGAAACTCCACTTCTTTGTTTTTATTTTTAGGAAATAGGTACATTTTATAACTTCCCTGCAGTTAAAAAGTTTAATTTGATAGTTTTTTAAATCCATTCAGCCTCATGTATTAAGCTCCTTGGCCATTTAGTGATTTGTAGATGTAACAGGATTATTTTGGATATACTGATTTCACTATATTTTCCTCCTGTTTACTTACTGTTCATATAAAATTGTTTTGTGTTAACAATATAAATGTAAAAAGAGTCTGTAAAGTGACAGTGGTTGCACCAGAGCCGGCTCGAGGCATAAGCTAACTAAGCGGCTGCTTAGGGCCCCGTGGCCACCAGGGGGCCCCCAAGAGTGCTTGAAATTATTGTGTGACTTTCGTTTTAGTTTGTTGAGTTGTGGATTAGTGGTGGGACAAAATATATACCCATTTATAGTGTTATTTCTGACCGCAATACATACTCTGGCGCCAAGATTTTTACTTAAATTTACAAAAGATCTGATTTAATTAATCAGTTTTTTCACACTGACTGCAGCAGATAACCGCTTTAGCTACAGTAGACCCAGCCGCCACCAGGTGGCGCTTCCCGTAAGCAGCAAAATGCTTTTTTTTATGAACTTGGCGATTAAAAAAATAAGCTTCTGATTTATAAAATTGACAGTTGTTAAATACACTGCAAAACTTATTTTCTTTCTTATAGTTTTTGTGTGATTTTTAGTCCAAATATCTAAAAATTCTTAAACCAATAAGCATTTTCTAGAAGGATATTTAGTCAAAATAATGTGAATTTTTCATTAAAAAAGCTCAATAATCTGCCAATTAGGGTAAATAAAAATATTGTTTTAGGTTTTAAATAAGATTATTTTACTTATCTCATTGGCAGATTAATTTGTTTTACAAAAAAATTCACTTAATTTAGAATTATTTCTGAAAACTGAACAATTTTTGTACATATTTAGTAATTTGATTGATATGCGAGTATGTCTAAAAAATGCTTCCTGATTTAATTTGATTTTAATTTAAATAGATATTTGCTTATTAATGTTTTGTGTCTAATTATTTAGATTTGTGGCAAGTAGTCATATAAAAAGTTGGATCAGTAGGAAGTTGTTTCTGCAGAATAATATTTAGAATTGTCTTAAAACATATATTTTATGATGTAAGCAACACAGCTACAGTGAATAAAATCGATAATGTGTGTTTTAAATTTATAGTGTGAGAATTATCAAGGATTGATGATAATTTGTCATATTGTTTGCACCAAGGTGGCCCCAAATAAAATCCTGCTTAGGGCCCCCGGAAGGCTTGGGCCGGTCCTAGGTTTCACCCCCCTTGGGTTAACGTCAAGGTAGTATAGTCCAAGTAGCCATACCTGTTGCACTATTGCTTGAGCGGTCTTTTCCACCTTTACCTTGAACTAAGGAGGTATGCTCTACCTGTTCCAAATTGAATTTGGCTCTGGCCATAATTAACACACACAAATGCATATTTAAGTTTAATTTGAATCATTTGTTATATTTACTGATGTTTGTTATATTGTAGAATGTTATTTCTGTTGACAGTGTACATTTAATGTAATGAGCTGAAGCTGCCGATCTCATAATAACATTCTCTGTGCAGGTATGCAGCTATGATTTTTATTTTGACAATGTAATATGTGGATTGTCAGTGTTCACATGCTGATTTTTGTAATTGTGAGAGCTAGTTTTCTCTTTCCCTTTCCTGTCTTCGCGTCCTTCCGCGGCGCCTCTCGCTCGTTTCCTCCATCTTTCGTTCGCCTTTTTTTTCTTTTCCACCTTTACCTTGAACTAAGGAGTGTACATTTAATGTAATGAGCTGAAGCTGCCGATCTCATAATAACATTCTCTGTGCAGACTCAAAATGGTGTCCTCTCGTCATTCACTACACAACGCAGAGCAAAAGAGAGTACGGTTACATAGACAAGTAATAATACGTTAAAATCTATTCTGAATGTAACTGGGAGCCAGCGTAATGTCCTAAGGACAGGTGTGATGTGCTCTGATTTTCTGGTTCTGGTCAGAATCCTGTCTGCAATGATCTGGATGAGCTGCTACTGTCTGACTGAGGAGGCCGTTACAGTAATCCACCCTGCTGCTGATAAAAGCATCAACAAGTTTCTCTAAGTCTTCACTAGAAACAAAGCATCTAATTCTTGCAATGCTTTTGAGATGATAGTAGGCTTTAATTTCTGCTTTGAGATGACTACTGAAGCTCATATCTGACTCCAGATAATAACAATAAGTTTTGTTAAAGGTTCAGGACACTCTGGAGAACTTTTTTTTATATTATCATAACAGATTTGTGTGTGTTGAGCATCAGTTAAGACAATGTTAGCACCTGTCAGCTTTAATTGTGGGGAAAGCTGGATAATTTTGAGCTTTTGTCAGCTAATTTCAGCTTCCGGGTTTAAAATGATTTTTGGGGCGGGATCTGTGGTGATACAGTTATACATAATTCACCATAGCTTACATAGGTCATCATATTCTGTTCTTTCAGGAAGCATTTGTCGTCAGTATTTTCCTGACTTAATTGTATGGTCTTTGTAATCACAATGCTTTATGTTGCTCAGTGTTTAGCTGTAGATTTCCTTTACCCTTTAAGGACCTTAGTGTTGTGATAATCTTTTTTGACCTTTAAGGACCTGTGTGTTTTGATGACGGGTTTTTTATGGAAGTTTCAGAGAGTTTGTTGTTGGCAATAAACGACACACGCATTTCGTGTGCTCAGCTAGAAAATGCGCCTGCGACTATTTATTGACCCTTTCTACAGATCAAAATCGGCGACGTAGCGCAGCACTGCAAGTGCAATGATGCACGTCGGTTTCTCATTATTATTCATAGCGGAGTTTTCTTATCCTATGAGAAGAGCCGGCTGCTTAATTATTCATGAGACCTGCCAGACCTGCCAGAGTCAAGCCCGAACTGAGAGACACGTCACAGACCCACGGCTCGGGCACACAGTATTTAGCCGTTCATGAAGGCTCATATGCGTTTGTTTCCATCATCCATGGGGTTTGTTGCATGTTTTCCCCCGCGATCTTGTCAGGGCCGATCATACAGCAAAGCTGTGTGTGTGCTGCAAGCATTTTTGTCGGGAGAGCAGCACGAGAATTAGATAATGGCGGACGCTGTCTTTTATCAGGAGTTCGTTCACATTCAGACACATCGCCGTGCTGCTGTGTTTGCCTAAATCCTCCAGATTACCAGCAGGGCTAATGGTTAAAATAGACAGGTCAGGAGACCTGCTGCACTGAGTCTGCTGGATACGGGGATTGAGGGAGAAGTCCTCATTTATAGGGTTTACGTGAACACACTTATCTTTATAATGATATTGTGGTTATGTGTATATGAAATTACGAATAACAAATGAAGCAGGGCATTAAATCACTCTTCATTTCTTTGCATTTTAACTTTGTAAACTATAAACTGATGCGTATCCTCACGGTTTGTCTCATTTTGTGAGCTAGCTTCGTTCGCTCACGTTCTCCCCTGCTGGCCACGCCCACTCCTGCCCAATGCTCGCGGAGCTCCACGCCCATTAATCATGCATCTTTTGAAAAAATTCTGAAGTAGACTTTAACCGAAAGTGGGGGGTGTCATGGCCCTTTAACTTCTGACTGCAGCTGTATCCCTTCTAGCAACAACCAATGTCAACTGTTTACCTCTATAGACGAGTAATAAACTGTAAAGAGTCTATTCAAAATAAGTGGAGCGTCCCTTTATGAGCATTACAATGCTTATGAACAGAAATGTCTGTGTGCTTGCATGTGCATGCTGGAAACCTTTGATAATTGAGATGATGCATTCACATTTAACAATCCCGCATCTATTAATCATCAACTCATGACACAAATGACAGAGGTGAAATGTCTCATGTGACATTATGACAAATAGCATTTGTCGAGCAAAGCAGTTTGACATCTCTTTGCTTCTTGCAGAGCCTCAGGTGAAAAACTGTGTGTGAATTCACTCATCAGCTGAACGTTGCATCATTTGACCTTTATCTGCTTTTACTGTATATGACGGAGCTGGAGGACTCGCTCCAGGGGTAAAACTCTCCAAGACTGAAAAATAACATAAGTCACTTTGTGTGTGTGTGTGTGTGTGTGTGCGTGTGTGTGTGTGTGTGTGTGTGTGTGTGTGTGTGTGTGTGATTTCTGAAATATGCATTTGTGCAAAAAGAAAAAAATCTCCCAGATAGGATATAGGGAACGTCCACAGGAAATCCATCGAAAATATCAGCAGAATAAATCAGCAAATGTGATGTCAAATTCAGTTTGGTTCTCTGTTCTGACAGCGGTAACTCACTGTACACATCAGCAGGGCTGGCTGATATTGCTGGGGAAAATATATATTTATGTTTTTCTTTGACGTTTGACATTATTCAACGTACATTTCCAACATAACTACTGTACAAACTTGCTCTGGAATGATCTAAAAGAGCTTTGTTATGAGGACTCTTAACTTGGACCAATTGGTCCCTGTTGCCGAGTGAACACGTTTATTACCAAAAGTAGAATAGGAAAAATGCACTTAAATTTAGGTCATAGGCAAATTTGTTATTGTAAATATATTTTTTATTAATAATAAATAATAAAAATAAAAACAATAATATTAATAATAGTAAAATAATAATAATTAAAATTATATATATATATATATATATATATATATATATATA